TATCATATGATCTCACTGATATGAGGAATTTGAGAAACAAGACAGAGGATCATAAGGGAAGGGAGGGAAAAATGAAACAAGACGAAACCAGAGAGGGAGACAAACCATAAGAGACTCTTAATCTCAGGAAACAAACTGAGGGTTAATGGAGTGGAGGGAGGTGGGGGCATGGGGTGGCCGGGTGATGGACATTGGGGAGGGTATGTACTATGGTGAGCACTGTGAATTGTGCAAGACTGATGAATCACAGACCTGTACCCCTGAAACAAATAATACATTATATGTTAACAAAAAATAAATAATTAGCAAATCTAGTCATACGTAACACAAGTCATTTTTCTTGCATGTTTTAAATTGTATTTTTGATTGTGGTAAATAAACTATTTATAACATAAAATTTACCATCTTAACCATTTCTAAGTGTAAAATGCAGTACCATGAAGCATATTCACTTGCGGTGCAACCATCGGCTATATCCATCTCCAGAACTTTTCTCACCTTCCCAAATTGAAACTTTGTACACAAGAAACAATAACTTCTCATTCCTCTTCCCTGCAGTCCTGGGCAACTATCATTCTATTTTCTGTCTCTATGGATTTGTCTACTCTAGGGACCTCATATAAGTGGACTCTTGCATTATTTGTCCTTTTGTGACTGGCTTATTTCACGTAGCATAGTATCTTCAAGATTTACCCATGTTGTAGCATGTGTCAGAATTTCCTTCCTTTTTAAGGCTGAATCATATTGGGTTCCATGTATATAACACATTATGTTTATCCTTCAACCAATGGACACGTGGGTTGCTTACATCTTTTGGCTATTGTGAATAATGCTGCTACAAACTTGAATATACAAATATCTCTTCAAGACCCTGCTTTCAACCCTTTGAGGTAGATACCCAGAAGTGGATTTTCTAGATCATATGGTAATGTTATTTTTAATTTTTTGAGGAACTGCCATCCTGTTTTCCACAGAGGCTGTATTCCATTTCATATTCCCGCCAACAGTGCACAAGGGTTCTGATTTTTCCACATCCCGACCAATACCTGTTATTTTCTGTTTTTGTGAGAGTACTCATCTTCATGGGTGTGAAGTAATGGTAACAAATCATTTTTTTCTCACATAAAAATACTTGCAGATTGATAGTCTTTACCATTACCTACATACTCAAGCTCACTGTGTCTCAGCAAACATCAGAACAGAATTTTTGTTTTACCAAGATTAGATATTTTAGGCCAGAGTGTAATGTTCTAAAATTATTAGGAAGAACATATTTAAAATTATTAAAGGAAGATGCTAAGTAAAAGAAAAATGGAAAGGATGGTGAAAAAATAAACTTAGAAATCTTTAGGTGGCTTGAGACTGATGAAAAGCTTTGTCAAAATTCTCAAACACCAAACAATTTGTCTTTTTGTGGGTAAAAGGTGAAAAATTAATCATTTTAATAACTTGAATATATCAGGTATTTTGAGGGTTTTTTTTTTCTTTTTGTATTTTCATTTTATAGGGACTTGAATACTGTTACTGCACTGTAATTATTTGAATGTTGCTGATATTTTGAAGATTATTTTTAATGTTTTGGTAGATGGTTGTTTTCCTTTAAATATGTATTGTCAAGGGTGCCTGGGTGGCTCAGTTGGTTAAGCGACTGCCTTCGGCTCAGGTCATGATCCTGGAGTCCCGGGATCGAGTCCCGCATCGGGCTCCCTGCTTG